CGTGGGTTCTCACCGTTAAGCTTGTAGAACCCAAACCAAAAAAATACATTTGGTGAATCAGACTTCGTATAATTTTAGGTTCATGTTAGGCTCTTATTCCTTCCTATCACCGATTTTTCTTGTTTATTTTCCAATCTCTAGGTTCTGCTAACTAGCTTCACATCAAGATGACAGATGCAAATCGAAATCCTTCATTTTCTGGAAATTTTCAACTTTTGCAATAAATTGTAAGTAGGTTGAGATTTATCCCATAGCTACTTCAAGGAAATTGCCAAAAAATGTGTTCCTCTTTTACAATGTACGTCACGAGTAGGTACTAAAATTAGCTCAAAACTGTTCAAAATTCTCGAACTACCATGAGTGCTTAAGATATAGGCACTCAAGTTTTGAATTCCAACAAGGGGTAAAACATTGTTCCAAAATTTTTCCAAATGAGTCTAAAATCATTGCAAGTTCGAAATTTTCAAACCAATCAAATTGGTTCTAACAGTTTGATGGTGGAGCTAGCAGAACCCACTCCGATCATTGAAGAGCAAAAAATTCTGGAAAAAAGCACAAAATTAGCATGAAATCATGGCCTGAAAGTAAATACAGGAATCTAAAATGATTCAGCTAGCTTAACAAGAGACAAAGACCCCATTCGAAGCTAATGCTTCTTCTCTCATGATCAGTACCGCTTCAGTTACCAGAACAGATAGAAACTTGGTAATAGTTAAGCAAATATTTTTGAATACACTTCACAAAATGAATCGGATTTTGGAATGAATTCATTAGAAAATAAAGCTAGAGCAATAGTGAGAAAACTATTTGAAAGAAAATAGTTTCAGGAAAACAACTAATTTTTGAAATTCATCGATTGTTCAATGCGATAGAACATCCTAAAACAATTACCTTGAAAAAAGTCGAATTTCACTCTTTGTTTATTGAAAAATTTCACTAGTTTAGGTCATCTTATCAAGCCAACTTTGTTGGAGAGCCTATGTTAAGGAAAATATTTTCTCAGTTCTTGTATATGGGAAAAGTAATTTTGCGAGAATATTATACATGTGATGATGGATAAGAACCAAAGTGAATGGAATTAATTAGTTTATGAGGTTTTCTTACGAAAAAGAAACAATACAAGAGAAACCAATTCTCAGGTGGTTAATAACATTCGAATAAATATGTTTTAACACGTACAAGTTTCAATGTGAAGCCTTAGATATACATTTAATCTGCAAAGGTTACCATTTGAAAGTCGATACTAGCGTACCTACTGATGCCTCTATTTTCTTGCTGTTCATTATAATTCTTTTCAATTTCCATTATTGTCGCTGAATGATTTATGCAATTATTCCTCTGAGCAAAAGCGTCCCTCCTCATCAGGTTTTTTTATTCATTTGAATGAAAACTTCCGACGGACCTAATGTGTCCAACCCTAGGAGGAGAGAACTGAAAAGTCCTTCAATGTAATTTGACTTTTGTACTAATTATATTATCTGTCATAATATAAACATGCCAAATGATGGGCAATTATGATGGATCTGGAAAACACAGTCTAGAAAACAGGAAATATAGCACTAACGAAATACATATACCTATATACCGTATTTTGAACTGAATTTTGTGCAATATACAAATTTTTGTGATTATGAATTAATGATAGCGGTAATATAGCAATGAGAAGGGGACGTTACTTTTTTAAATTTTCATTTCCAAAATGTAAATATTGACGTTAAAAAGAATTTTATGAAGAACTATAGTCGCCGTCCATAATATCTTTGTGAAACAATTCGTGAGAGTGAACAACAATTAGCTGTATCTCAATCTAGCCGATAACACCAAAACGTCGTGACGTAACTTGGTTTAGAATCGTTTTATTTTTCATTTTTTGTTAATAATATTTTTTATTTAATTTTTTAATTTTCAGCTTTTATTAATATTTCAATTTTTTATTTTTTCAGTTGTTACTTGTATGTAATTGTAATTTCAGTTTTTCTTTCTATTTTTTTCAGGCATTTCAAATCAATTTATATTATATTAGACAATGAAAGTCCGAACTGATGAAATACAATGTATTTTATAGTTGGGTCAACGAAAAAATATTCATGTGTCATCAATTCAAGCATCAGTCACTCGACAAGTCGACAAACTGATATAAACGAAACTGCTGCTCTGAACAAGGAATTCTTTTATTAAGAATATTTTTATTTTTGGAATTTAATATATAATAATGAAAACCCCATGTTACAATTTCGGGCCAATTCCATCAATGATTACTTCATCACTTTTATAGAAATGACCTAAGTATACCTGTGAAACCAAATAACTATGTGTATAATAGGTATACAAGAATTGAAACCGTATATAAACTTTTTCATAAAGGCTATGTGAACAATGCCAATCAGTTTCAAAATCTAAGAAATTTTCGTGGAAAATTTTTGTATAGATATCCCTCTTCGACGTACTAAGTGTAAATTATCATATAATTTAAACAAGAGATGTCATCAGTAAAAAAATCAGTACTGCGTTATCTGAAAAAAGTATTCAAAAAGTATCGTCCTAGAAATTCTAAACGAACTAAACGAATCTAATCCTGATACAAGCGAATTCTGTGAGAAATCAGAGAGGAGAAATTTGCAAAATGTCTTGTTCAGGAAAAATTGTTTTTCACTTTCTTTTTGATAACGAAAGATTTGAAGTCCGCCTGATAATATTAAAAAGTATTGATGATGAAATCATAGGTTCATATTGGTGAATTGAGAAATTGTTCAGCTACAATACTGAAACTACTTATTGCGGATAATGACATTTCTCCATAAATTTCGGCATTTGACCAGACCATTCTCCAGACTTAACTCCTACTCGATGCAAGTTATCAGATGCAAGGTATCTCCGACTTTGAGTGATAATCAAATGTTCTATTAATTAACGAATGGTTTTTGTCTGGTATAGGTACCTAAACATCTGATGTCGAGTCTGATGTAGCCGAAACAGTAAGTTACAGGATGACACGGAAAATTGCTCTCTATAGACATATGTTCTACTATTGTAAATACTAAATCATGAAACGTGAAGATTCCTATTATGTGTGTCCATGAGTTATTTGTTTTGTTTATCCCAGTTCAACAATCTGTTTTTTATATCTACCAGATATTAATTACTACAATAATATGTAGTGCCCGAAATAGCATACATGGTTTGGTTTTGCACTTATCAGTTCAAACACAATCCTTCATCTTGTCAGAACGGAATTATCAACGGCATTTTCAAAGTATAGCAAATATATTACTATATTTATCAAATACTTGATGTGATATTTATAAAAAAAAAATTACAAATGTCTAAGATTTTTTTGAGTAATGGACGTCATCCAAGATGGCGGAATGCGGTCTAGTATAGTAAACAAAATATATATTTTATTGCTTCCATACATTCACTTGGTTCGTAAAAATTAACATAGATGAAATATGCGAAACGTGGTTCAGCTTGTAATTTTAATTCCATTACTTGAGAAACGAGATCTTGAAAACGTGACTTCTCTTCCATTTTATTCTGATTGAACAAATATAGAATTTTAATTAAAATATCACTTCAAAATTCATATATGTAAGATATCGTTCAATTCATATTCCACAACTAATAATAAACGTGTACCTACCTAGATGAATTCTGTTTAATTTCTTGTAAATACATATTTACTTTTGTTTTCAGAATCCAAACATGTTCTAGAAGCTAAGAATCGCACGTTGAAAGGTAAGAACTCGTGAATCATTAGCTCACACAACCCTTTTGAGGCATATCGTGCGAAGGTGGCCGGCAGCTGGTTAACGAAAAAAGAGATTTTTTTTGAAGAATTCCGGTAGGTACGTTTTTGGAAATTTTCGTCTTCACAGTCTGAATAAAAATCGAAATCAATATTTTTGCAGATAAGCAGGGTAAACTAAACCCACTGATAATCCCAAAAGTGTCATCGAACGTCGAACTAGCCTAGGACTACCGTGAAAAACAGAAAAATTTTTTGATTGAAATAGATTGCTTCTTATCTGACAGGTGGCTAGATTCTGAGGAATGACAGCTGACGGAAAAGTTGATGAATTTGCTATACAGACACGGATCATAAGCTCCATATTTTGGCCCTGAACTAAGTGTGATCTTGAACAACAAAGTGAAGAAGACAGCCCGTTATACGCGGAGGCAACCAATCTATGGACAACCCAAACTATTTCTATCGAATGTCCTATAGAAATTAGTAGATTCATAGAACAGAGTGTTGATATGGGTTTTTGAATTGGTAGTAAATGAGCTAGCTCTTTTACTCTGATTTTATTCATGTCTAAGTGTATCTAATATAGATATACGAAATTTTGATTGTAGATCTGCTTGTTTAGACTGTAAAAGCATCAATATTTTCATATAAATCACCTTGAAGTATTTGCTTTTGCTGATTATTGTAACGAGAGGCAGTTCATCGAGTGTTCGAGATTCCATAATGAAATAAATATATGAATTTTTAATATTATCATAAACTTGTAAAATATCTGAAAACTTAGTAATTACAAAAATTTTTGCTTTTACTTCTCCATCTTCATATAATGAATTATGGGAAACTTCCAAAGGAAGGAAGAAAACAACTAACTTCAAAATAAACTCTTTACAAAGATGTGTATGAATCATGCATAGAAGTTAGTTTCAGTTACAAACTGGTAGAAAAAATCCTTCCGAAACAACTACTTTCGTATGAATTGTGTATTTTGGGACATTTTCCTAATTTTTTTACATTCCATTGCAGTGGAATTCAAACTTTTAGTAGCTGCCCAATTTTTCAACTTTGTCCCATCCACTTGAAGGATGTGGTATGTGCAAATCTATACACTTAAGTCTAACAGCATAAACTAACTATGAACGAATGGTCATTCTTTTCTTTTTAGCGGATTATCGTATGTTACTTTTCATTTTCACAATCGGTATGGTGTTTTGATTGAACTACCGCTTATGAGTTCGAACAGTGGATAGCTTACCCTATCATACTGATGAGCAGCGCCGAAAGGGGATGTGAAGGGTCCAGTTCTAGGTACTGGATGAGCTGATACTGGAGGCGCTGCTCCAGCCCTTTGATATAAATACGGATAATATGCTTGGTACATAACTTCAGAACAACTCATTATATACATAAACACATCGCTAAACAGTCTTCACGCACTACAGACAATCCACTAGAGGAATATTATCCGACGGTAAGATCACAGACAAACACTAGACGAACCGATCAAAAATCATTGTCACATGGAAATTGTCTTGCGGAAACACCGAATCGTTCAACACATTCTAAACGTAGACCTAGAAATGTTGAAAAATGTATCTATTCCAAACATTTGTCGCTACATTACGTCACAGTAATATAATCACAGCACACTCTCCAACATTCAAACCGGTATCATACTAACTTGCCGTCAGGAGCAAAAATTCCTCACCCCTGCGATGGCTTGGCTCCGCCTCTCTTTATCCCCCCCAATGCTGGGATATGTCACGCCCCTTTTGAGTGATTATAACATTCCATGAAAAGGAGCCAATGCGCTTTCAGCTGAAAGCTGTTCAGGCCAATGTTTTAGCAGCATTTAGCTTGGTATGTTGACCGCGTAAGCTGGTTTTATATCAAATAATAGTAACCAGGGGGGTATGGAAGCCATACGAATCATTTTAGTTGAGCGATTTCCACTTCGGCTCTTCATTATTTTGAACACACTTTCAGTTAGTGTCGTTTGTTTTCGTTCGGTGAATAATTCATATTGTGTAGATCGAATAAAAATCATTGAGATAGATAAAAATCAAATAGGGTTATTTGAGGAATATAAAGGGATATAAATATTAGTGGATGAATTACTAATTTTCATACCTATGAGACATTCATGTTCAATCAATCTGAGAAAGAGTTCCTACCCTCAAGTGTTCTTTCAGAATCAGACTTTTACCTATTTTTCAATAGGAACATAGAATAGATTCCTATTTTGGTATAGTTTGGAAAAGTATGTATTATTTTGTATTGACTTTTCTGGCGATTTCCATCTTCCACAATCTGGAGATAATAAAAATTATCATGGAAAACATTTCACATATGTACCTAAAAAGGGGCAAACTTGCTTTGCTGACGACAGCACACTTGTCATTCCATTTCGATTCCAGGACATCGACTGCGGATGCACATCTTCACCGGCAGCAGCAGATTGCATATCTTAATGAGGATCTAGAAGTAATTTCAAAATGGAGTGAAAGTAACCAGTTTCAATTCAATGCCACGAAAACCCAGGCATCGGTTTTCTCCAGAAAGATGTCAAGACAGACAGACAGACAGTTTGTTGGGGGTTAGAATGGACACCAATGGGTATGTCTTGTCACAATCATGTCGCTGAAGTTGCAAAGGCTGCTTCTCAAAAGCTTGGAACACTGTTCCAAACTAGAAAACTGTAGACACTTCAGCAACTTTTGATACTTTATGAAACTCAGATCAAACCTTCTTTGGAGTATTGTTGTTCCCATATTTGAAACTCCGCCTCTAAGCATATCCTGAAGCGTCTCCAATCAGACCAGTGTCTGACATTGGTGGCTGCTCATTGTGGCTGCTCATCGTTTTGAGGTACACCTCGAAGTTCACTGTTCAAGAACTCTTTCATCTGGAGAACTGCGTTTATGTAGAATAAACTTCCTGAGAACGTTTTTCCAAACAGATTTAATTTTCAGCAATTCAAATCTAACGTGAATCGCCACTTTCGCACAGGAACCTCTCTTGTGCCTTATGGATTTTCCTGTAGTGCTTTGTCCTTGAAGAAAAAAACTCTTTATTTCACCCCGATAAGTTACTACGCAAATTTCCACAAAAAATTATGATTCCTCAGTAACTTGTATTCAATGATTTTTTCTGTAAGAAAAGATCTAATAAATTGTATAGATACTTATTTTACCGTTATTTTACCGCTAAAATCTTTCTTCGTTTTCAGAATTATGAAAAATCAAATATAACTAATTCTCCAACTAATTCGATTTTATTATTCATTTAAATTCGGAATGCTCATGAATAATTGAAAATTTTCAGTTATTACCCATATACCTAGTTGTTCTTTATATCAACATACTTCGATTTCTGCAATTCTTTAAAAAAAAATATTTTTTACTCGATTTCTAAGAAGTGTTCCCCCACAAAGAAGTTCGTAAAGTTGGGAATGAATAAATAAATAATTGTTGAAATACCTTATCATCTAGTTGGACAAATTTCAAATACTAAATTGATGGATGTAGCCGTTACTATGTGGTAGGAACTCATTATGAAGAAAAGAGAATTTAAACTTTTATTTGTAACTAACGTTACTGCAGTTTCGTCCTATAAGGACATTTTCAAACGTATGCATTAAACTAAAAATGATTGATTGCATTAGCCCACCACTGAATTTTGTTTACTTGTGACAATGTGGATACGCTAATTTGAAAACTAGTGAGTAAAAACTAAACAAATCTAAACGATACGGAAATTTTGCACTAAGCAAGGAAAGGTTGCAAACATGATTATTTGTAATCCTTGGAAATTCATAAGCATCCATCGATTTAGTTTATTCACCGGTTTTCAAATCAGCATATCCACCTTATCACATGTGAACAAAATTCAAGTACTCAATTAAGCCAAGCACCTCTATTATCACATACAAGGGTGCTATATAAGGGCTAATGTAATCAATCAGTTTTAGTTTAATGAATAAGTTTGAATATGTCTTTAGAGGATGAAACTGCAGTAACTTTAGTTACAAATAGAAGTGGTAAGAAACATAGAGACACTAAACGATTTTTTAATACATCTAAATTCACTCGACTCAAAAATCCAATTCACAATGGAACGAAAAACCCAAGGGATATTGGATGTTCTTGTGAACAGACGTAAAGATGGTCCATTAGTTCACAGAGTGTACAGGAAACCAACAAAGACAGACAGGTACCTGAACGAAAACTCTAACCACCAGCCACAACAAAAGAGAGGGGTATTAAAACGTTGGTTGAGAGAGCAAGACGTACCTGTGAACCTGAGAGTATTCCTGAGAAACTCAATCATCCACAAATGAATGCATTCAAAGTTAATGGGTACAGCGAAGGTGAATTCGAGCTGGCCATACGACTCAGACCCAGACCAGACTGGATTGGGAGGCACCTGAACAAAAACTCTAACCACCAGCCACAAAAAAATAGATGGATATCAAAACGTTGGTTGAGAGAGCAAGACGTATCTGTAAACCTGAGAGTCTTCGTGAGGAACTCAATCACCTACAAATAAATGCCGTCAAAGTTAATGGGTGCAGCGAAGAAGAATTCGAGCGGGCCATACAACCCAGATCCAGACCAGACCGGATTGGGGGGTACCTGAACAAAAACTCTAATCACCAGCCAAAACAAAAGAGAGGGATATTGAAACGTTTGTTGAGAGAGCAAGACGTATCTGTGAACCTGAGAGTCTTCCTGAGGAACTCAATCACCTACAAATAAATGCCTTTAAAGTTAATGGGTACAGCGAAGGAGAATTCGAGCTGGCCATACGACCCAGACCTACACCAGACCGGATCGGAAGGTACCTGAACAAAAACTTTAAACACCAGCCACAACAAAAGAGAGGGGTATTAAAACGTTAGAATTGAATGACTCCCAAGCACGGAATATATAAAATATATTTAGTAAAGACACGCCCGAAGAAGCCATTGTTTGGTGAAACATGTGTTGTACACGTTTTTGTAAAATTGTTTAGTGAAAATCTCCCAATTCTGTGTTTTTGAATACGTTACTTATGGATTTTCATGAAGTATCGGCCAATTTCATCATATATCTTAAGGAGTGTAGGTACCCGTCTCTCTGAATACGAAATAAATGGTTGAATCGGATAAACTAATTGAAAGATACAATAATACTCGATAAAACAGAAAATTACTATCCAAGGGTATATGGAGAGGCAATAAAAATTCAAAAACACAGCAATTATCTCAATAGGAAAGAAGAAGCAATGAACATTATTAACGTTTGTTTGGAGGTGATTGACAATGTTTCGTGGTGTATTTCATCAGTTCGGACTTCCATTATCTAATATAATATAAATTGATTTGAAATCCCTGAAAAAAAAAATTAAACGAAGATAACAATTTTATTAAAACAAAAAATTGATCTCGGAGGAATAAGTCCAGTTATCACCCGAAGACGATTGTAGATACAAACAATCGAAATGTCGTGACGTAACTTGGTTTTATTTTCTAGTTGTAGCTTGTATGTTATTTCCTTGTAACTTCAGTTATTAGTTTTGATAAAATTGTTGTTTTCCGTTAATTTCTTTTTTTTTTTCAGGGATTTCAAAATCTGGCTACCTGTTCTTGAATGTACACAAACAAGTTCAGGTAATCAAATTGAAATAAACGAACTCGAGCACCAACTCGGGCACTGCGACCGTTACCACATCATCTTTGATTATGTCTACCGCAGTAGTAGACGAAACGTCAGGCATTCAAACCTGCAGATCACGACCAACAGACACGGAAAAAATCTTTCACACTAAACAAATGATTGGAAATTATGGTTTACGAAAGAAATTATGTAATGAGTTCAATACCTTATTTTTTCTATACAGGTATTTACTTTACTACGAAACATCAAGTGTGAACATTATTAATATCATGAATTGTTTATTGGTCACATTTAAAAACAGGATCAATTATTTAACCTGATGAAAATATTGAAATCAATTTTATGCAAATTCCAGGCTTATGAGGAGAATTTAGTTAATTTCGATTATTCACTACGAATTTGAAGTGTGGTTCATTAAGTTTGTAAGAAATATAACTTTTTTCAATCAATCACACAATCGAAATTTGAATTCCGCCAAAAGTTAATGCTTGTTCGATAACCATATTAAATGCAGACTATAGATGGAATATCAAACGGTATATAGAAAAGTAAACTTTCATAGAAACCGTGTTAGGAATCACACGTTAAAAGGTTAGACCTCGTTAGTCCTTACCTCGCACAAGTTTCTGAGGGTTGTCGTTCCTAGGGGTGAAACAGCTGGTTAACGGAAAAACAGATTTTGAAACAGATTTTTTTTTGTGAATGATTGACATGATTTTTATGTAATGAATTTTTGTTTAACCTTTTGTATTTAGTATACAGGAGAATATCAAAGAAGGGTTTTCCTATAAATAAAATTAAACGAATCATTTGCATATAACGGAACATATAATACTTACCTATAGATCATACCTACATTTGCAAAGTAGCATTTGCGAAACTTTAGAAATGTAATTATAGGTAATTTCCAAACCTTCGAAACTTTTTGTATCATTTCTCACGGTTCATTTCGTAAATACCACACATTCTGGTCTCCAACATCTTATCTTTCATATCAACAAATACTTGAAGAATATACGAGTTCTG